TCAATTCTGGACCATACTTAGGGGACCACTAGATAATATGAATTGTGCAATACAGCAGGAAGTGGTGCAGATGAGTTCATGGCTGAACTCTGCCCTCCAGCTTCCACCTTGATCAATAGCATGGCTCAGTGCTAGAGAACAGCGTGACGCTTGTAACATCATCTCTTCTGATCAAGTACAGCTTAGATCTTGTTTTTGCTTACAGTGTGCCAAAAGACAAGGTGGAAAGAACAGTCTTACACATTAGGGATATCCTGAACAGCTTTCACCTTAAAACATCTCACCAAGTTTCTATACAATGGGAAAAGGGAACTGAAATCGGGGGGGGGGGGGGGGAGAGGTGTACTTTGCTCAGCCTACATAAAGCATAAACAGTTTACTTTTGCCACCAACGTAGGTATCCTCAACCTACTTCCTGGTGGGAACTTCTTATTTTCCTGAAACACTTCTGATGGATAAGCCATCTGTATAAAAGTTGCGCTGATGAAGGCTTCTGCAACTGAAACATCTACAGCAGGCGTGGGAATGCTGCTGAACTACAACTCCCATCAGCCCCAGCAAGCACAGCCAACAGCCAGGGATTATGGGAGTTGTAGTTCAGTAATATCTGGCGGGCCAAAGACTCCCCAAGACCTGATCTACAAAAATTCCTCTCTTTGGCAATAGGTGCACTGTGGAATACAGGTACTTGTAGAAAGTATTCTCTCCTACTAAATAGTTACACTGAAATTTAGGAACAGGAGAAGCTAGTAGTGTATATAGAACAACTAGCTTAAATTTACTGCTAATCACATTTGTTGATACACCTTTATGTTGGTCACTTGTGCAGTCTGACCTTAGACATGTTTAGTTGAAAGAATGACCCACTAGGCTGTTCAATGGGGCTTACTCCCAATATTGTACGTGTGAATTGACTGCAAGCTTAGTTAAGAACCTACATTTATACTTTTAATACAGCTAGAGAAAAGGAAAAAGGTGTGGCAATAAGACCAGGATTTACTCACTGTACACTTGATGTTTCATGAATCAAATGGAATGCTAGAGCTTTTCAGCTGCTTTTCAAACCAGTGTATGTGTGTTGTTTTAGGCAAGCTAGCAGACAGTTTAGGTGGCATTGATCCCTATGAAGGTTGAAAAACTGCACCCTTCCCTCTCTCCCACTTACAGGGATTACTTGAGGCGCTTTGAGAAGTTTCTTGCTAAAAAGAAATAAATGGGATTTAAAAACAACAACACCCCACTAATATCAAGGTTTCAAAGGGTTGCCTGGAAATGTAACTTGTCTACCTGTCAGCCCCATTACAAGCTATTCTACTCTTGTTTTTATGTGTGAACGGAACGGACAGGCTCCTTGAATTGGAAAGGAGTAAAGTCCATTCTGCCAACATAAAGTAGAAACATATATATTCATCAGCATCCCCTACAACAGGTACTGCAATCTGAAGGTAGGAGCAAACAGCTTCAGAGGTCTCAAACAAGGGAGCTAAGTCGCATAATAAAAAACAAAGGCAAAGCCTTCACCAGCTGAACAAAAACAAAACAAAACATCATTTGCGCGGCACTGAAATGATATCAAGGTAGATGTCAGGAAAGCCTCTCTGAGGAGGTTATTCCATAGCCAGGTTGCCATCACTGAAAAGGTAGTCACCTGCTGTACCTCACTTGGCAAGGGCACTCGGAGTAGAAGGAATCTTACCCTCCCCCATCAATATTTCCTGCTTCCAAGCGGACACATGCAGCTTCAATAAGAAAGTTGCAAGAATTTTTCATGGATTACATGGTCCTCTTATCACATCTCTGCAATATCCAATTGGTTTAAATAACAACCACCACCTCCCAACATTGGCAAAAATGAAAGAATGTGCAGATAAAATTATCTGGGATTATTATTGCTCCAGCAGCCACAAATGTTTTTTTAGCAAGGTTTCCTATTTGACATTTCTAAATCCTTCCCATGTAAAAAGGACACACCTTTCACTTGCTACGCAAAACACCCAGAGAAGGAAAACAAATGTGCCTGCTCTTTCCATCTGAAAGAGGTCACTGGGGTAAAGGGACCTTGTCTACCAACAATCACAAACAGCATCGGTGATGAAGGCTTGGCTATAGTTCCCCACTAACTACCTCTTCAATAGGGTGGAGAAACCACAAGCAGCGTGGGTTACAGCAAATCCTGCAATCCATGACAGCAAAGAGGCTGAATGCTTTTTGTTAATGCAATCCCTGAAGCTTGTGTTATATGGCTGCAAAGTCCCATGAAGCTCGAATTAAGAACCTAAGAAGAGCCTGCTGGATCAGGCAATGACTAATCTAGTCCAGCATCCTGTTTTCACAGTAGCCAATCAGATGCCTGTGGGAAACCTGAGCACACAAGCCCTCTCCCTTCCTGTGGTTTCAAGCAACTCGTATTGTGATATGGTGGCACCCTGGCTATGAAACACCCACCTCAGAGAGGCTTGCCAGACATCAGCCTTGTCTGCACTGGCCCCCGGTACATTTCCGAGTGCAATTCAAAGTGTGAGTGCTTACCTTTACAGCCCTAAACGGCCTTGGCCCTGTATACCTGAAGGAGCATCTCCACCCCCATTGTTCAGCCCAGATACTGAGATCCAGCTCCGAGGGCCTTCTGGGGGTTCCCTCATTGCGAGAAGTGAAGCTACAGGGAACCAGGCAGAGGGCCTTCTCAGTAGGGGTTCCCACCCTGTAGAATGCTCTCGCCTTCAGATGTCAGGGAAATAAACATCTGACTTTTCGAAGACATCTGAAGGGAGGTTTATTGTGTTTTAATATTTTGTTGGAAGCTGCCCAGAGTGGCTGTGGCAACCCAGTCAGATGAGTGGCATATTATTATTATTATTATTATTATTATTATTATTATTATTATTATTTCCTTGCCAGGCAAATGCCTCTTCCTCTTGTATAAGGAGCTGAGGTTTGCTTTTCTCATCTGAAGGAAATAAAGGATTTTAGAGCAGATAATTCACCTAGTGGCATTCCGTAAGCGAGGCTGTTGAATTTGCCACCATGCACCCACATAATAATAATAATAATAATAGCCAGAGAAGGAGAATCTGGTAATTCTTCATTTAAATTGTGTTTCTCAGCAAGAAGAAAGAAGAGTAAGTGCTAGCTAGCTGCAGGTAGATAACGCTTTTGCAGTCACCAAATAATAGCATGACTAGGATGGGGCAATAAAACTACCTGTCCCAGATGGAATTTAGATAAGGACACAGAATGGGCAAAAAGGTGTTGTAATATATGAGTCAGTTACCAAACGAATGTGACATTATGTAACGTGTCGTTTTCAGTACAAAAGAATGAACCGTGTTTCTAGAATGGTAGATGAGGAGCCAGGGAGACTTAGCGAAGGTAGGAGTCAAGGCAGAATGGCACAGATTCAGCCTCTCGGTGCTCCTCTTTGTGCCTCTAGCCTAACACGGTGAGACTCATTCAACCATTGATCCTGCTAGAAGGAAGGAAGGCGAATATGTGACCCTGGACAGCGGCAGGCAGCAAATGATTTATTTACTTACTCGCTCCATATCTATCAGAGGAGAGAGAACGTTCCAGTTTTTTGCTGCAGTATCTTTGACAGTCCACAGCCAGCCTTCAGTGGTCGCTGGTGCTAATTTCTGCTGGGTGGGCACGGAACTAGGAGCTTGCCCCAAGCACAGAAACAACCAGTTATGGCATTCCAATTAGGGAAATATGTGAAGTGAATAAAACAGGACGCTGGCCTCCCCGGAGAGGTGAAGCACCAGACGTATTAATGGAGTGCAGAGATAGATTTATTGCAAGAACCCCATTGCACTCAATTACCAGCTACTACATCTTGAGCTCCACTCTCCCTCTGAGTGCAGTTGTCTTGGCAGACTCCCTATGGAGGCACCTGCTCTCTGTACTTCTGGCTGGAACCCACTGGGTAAGGAGAAAGCATGCATTAACTAGTTCACCCAATCAGCGTAGGCTATTCCACCTTACTCAACTGCTGCATTGGTCGATGGTGCAAAATCCTGATTTAATGTTTCTGTGTGTGTGTGTTTTATAGATATTTAAAAAGATATTAACTTCCTTGAGTTCTCTCTCTTGTGAGACTCTAAAATACATTTCATATCCACACAACCTAATCCTTCCCTCTCCTTTGATCTGCCAGCTAATGGGCTAAGTAGGAGAGTGGATGCTGCCAGCTGTGCTTCCTGGCAAGGCTCAGGTGGCTTCTTTTTGACACAGAAAAGCTTTTCCACGGCAGACTCTGAGAGCTTCTAAAAAAAAAAAGGAAAATGTTTAGAGAATAAGAAATATTTGTGTGTCTTGATATCCAGTTAGCCAAGGAGAACCCTCCGATTTGATTGCCTGTCTTTTTTAAAAGATACCAACAGGATCATAGGTCTTTGATTAAATTAGGGTTGCTAATTTTTCAGGAAGCCTCTGCAGCTGTACCTCTTTAACCTTTTATCATTATTATAATCTTCCAAAATATTGCACATCAATCCAAGGAGGAAATAAGGTATTACTAAGGAAAAATCATAATTATTAAAGCCTTAATAGGAATTTGATGTGCAGAAATTAGCAGCTGATCATATTTGTCTCCACGCTGTGGAAAGTTTTGACTGATTGTCTTTACTGATTAGACTGCTGTTCAATGCACAAGAGCAGGGTAGGGTGGTTCCCCTGGTCAGTTGGCAATCCTAGATTAAATACAATCTGAAAGCACCATTGGTATGCCACTTCTTAAGGTTTGTAAGCCAGTGAGGAAGAATTACTGACAAACTTTTGATTATCAAAGGGAATGAGTGATATATGGATATGGATAAATATGCAACAGGAGCAATTAATTTCAAATTTTTCAATGTGAACTGAATGCCATGGTTTAAGAATGACAAAGTAACCCTTGAAGTGGCAATGTTATTTTGGATTACATGGTGCCTCTCTGACTTTAACACTCAAATGGAAAAGTATTAAACTATGCGGAAGAAGGGTTTTCAGCAAGTACAGCTTGGGGAAAGGTCATAGCTTAGTGGTACAGTGCATGCTTTGCATACAAAAGGTCCCAGGTTCAATCCCTAGTGTCTCTAAAAAAGGAAAAATTGGAAAGATTTCTGCTTGAAATCCTTAAGTACTGTTGCAAGTCAGGGTCAACAATACTGTGCTGGGTGGATCAACGGTCAGACTCAGTGTACGGCAGCTTCAGATGTTCATGGAGTGGTGAGAAATGAGAAGCTTGCTCAAGTTTCTTGCTCTATGCAAATATTTAAATGCATAAGAAGTTTGTTCTTCTTTGCATTCAGTCCCAATGACTTGCAGGAGGGTGGAGAGGGGCAGCACAGTGAGGGAACACTTGGCTATATAGTGGCAGCACACAGCAATTCTCTTGTACAGTGATGGCCAAACTTGGACCTCCAGCTGCTTTGGGACTACAACTCCCATCATCCCTAGCTAACAGGACCAATGGTCAGAGATGATGGGAATTGTAGTCCCAAAACAGCTGGAGGGCCAAGTTTGGCCGTCACTGCTCTAGTACAACATGGAATTCACACTTCCCATTCAACATTTTGCTTTATGATCAAGGACATCACAAACAGTGGAATGTCTATAAAGAGCCCACCTTTTCATATGGGTCTTTCTTGTGAAGACCCATAATCTTCACCGAAGATTAATCTGGATTCGCCCCCATCCCCCAGGTGATGATTCGCAACCATTAAAAAGGATTAGAATTACTCTCCCAAATGCAAACTTCCAAAGAAAGAACAAGGAAACCCACCTTTCAGTCGCCCTGGTTATTTGCACAAAAGGGCAGCTCATTGTGTGTAAGAAGGCCATTAGTTTGTTCTTAGGCAATCTTGAGTACATGCCCTCAGTGCAATTTAGCCTGGATTTAAGAATCCTGCTCAACCCCCTCATTCAGACATCTTTAGTGGACTCCTGGGAATGAGTAATCCAGGCTTCTCAGTTGGCGATGGCCATTGGCAGCTGTGTGATGTGTTGCTTTCTGGGGAGCAAGTGGGATAATGGAAAAGGCTGCCCTTCCTATACCGTTCAAATCACACACATGCATACATTACTAGATCTACATAATTCACCCTGATTATCCATTTCTCCTTGAAATTCCCCCCCCCTATCCACAAGCACAATGCTCAAGTCTTAAATGAAGAACCAGCCTTACCATGAAGAAGAAAAATGGGGGACAAGTAAGAAGAAAGGGGATAAAGATAAGTTTTTCTCCCTCTCTCATAATACCAGACATTTTGGGCATCCAATGAAACTGATTGTTGGACACTTTCAGGATAGACAAAAGAAAGTACTTTACCACACAACACACAGTTGAACTATGATATTCGCTCCCACAAGTAGCAGTGATGACCAGCAATTTGGATGGCTTTGAAAGAGGAATAGACAAATTAATGGAGGATAAGGCTCTCCGTGGTTAATAACCCTAAAAGATATGTTCTGCCTCCACCAGTGGCGTAGCGTGGGGGGTGCAGGGGGGGCCGGCCACAACATCTGGGGGTTAGGGTTAGGGTGCGCAAATCCACGGGTTAGGGGGCGCAAATTACTTGTCTTCCCCGGGTGCTGACAACCCACGCTACGCCACTGGCCTCCACTGTCAGACGCAGGATGCTTCTGAATCCCAGTTTATGGAAAACCACAGGAGGGGAAACTCCTGCTGAGCTCAGACGTTCAGTTGCCTACCGTGAGAATGGCATGTTGAACTAGATGGGCCACTGGCCTCATCCAGCAGGGCCGTTATTTTCCTAATTATACCCCCCAACATCTTGCAAATGAACGTAGAGTCACTCCTGAGAACCTAGTGGAGCCAGGGGCAGGCAACCATGGGTCAAGGCACTGGCCCCAGCTCATCAGGGCTACTCCTAGGCTGCAAAACGGTTTCCAACACAATACAGTGCCCCAAATAGCAATTATTATTATTATTATTATTATTATTATTATTATTATTATTAATACCCCACCCATCTGGCTGGGTTTCCCCAGCCACTCTGGGCGGCTTCCAACAGAATATTAAAATACATTAGTCTATTAAACATTAAAAGCTTCCCTAAACAGGGCTGCCTTCAGATGTCTTCTAAAAGTTTGGTAGTTATTTTTCTCTTTGACATCTGGTAGGAGGTCATTCCACAGGGCGGGTGCCACTACCGAGAAGGCCCTCTGTCTGGTTCCCTGTAACTTGGCTTCACGCAGCAAGGGAACGGCCAGAAGGCCCTCAGCGCTGGACCTCAGTGTCCGGACAGAACAATGGGGGTGGAGACGCTCCTTCAGGTATACTGGACCGAGGCTATTAGCAACAGTTCCAGAGAGTGAAAAATTAGGATTTTCCTCCCAGTCATCAAGGAAAGGTGATCTGCGCAAGAGGTACAAAAGTTTATATTTCATTTTGTTCTTATGAGCTATAACCAACATTTGCCCTTGGCTTACCACTCGTGGCTTGTTTGTGGAGACAAACCATGGATCTGGATTCAAATGTGGCAATAATTAGCAGGAGTGCGGGAGGAACAGAACGGCCACAGTTTTCTTACTGTGCCCCATAGTTTGGCTTAGCATTACAATACAAGTGAGGCCTCTGTTTCTTCCCACTCAGTTTGCAGCACCAATAACTTCTTTATTTGTATACTCTCCTCCATGCAACCACGCATGCAGACAAAGATTCCACCCAAACCAGTGACATGATCAAGAGAGGGAGTGATAAATTAAGATTACCCCAAAGACAATTCATTAAAAATAGGACACAGAATATTAATTGCAATACCTAGTTCATAATTCACAACATCTCCACCCCCTCCCCTGCAATCTTCAGCTTAAACTCCACAACCTCTAGCAGGCAATCATCATTTTACTCCGGTTATGTACTTTTCAGGGCCAAGCCCTCACAAAGCAACATACAAATAAAAACAACAGAACTTCTCTGAAGCACTGGGTGGATCCAAACAAATGCACAAGAGATGCTGAATTAGATCACAAATATTCTTTTAAGGAAAGACGACAATATCTTCTTGAATGCCAGAGCTGAAAGGGCTAAATGTATGTTAACTGGAAGAGAGTTTCACAACTGCAGGGCCACCACTAAAAAGGCCCTGTGCCATGTGCTTCCCAGTCTAAATGATTTCACCAGCAGGCGCATAAGCAGGATCTCAGATGCAGATCTTAAATTATAGGCAGGGTCATATGGGAGCAGGCAATCCTTAAACTAATCTGGACCTGTATTAATACCAGCATGCTGGAAAGGAACTGGAAATTTGTGCAACTGGTGCAAAAGTTACATGCTCAGACCTTCTGCTCTCCCCACATCCCCTTTAGCATCCTGGCAGCTGTGTTATGCACCAATTGAAGTATCCAGCCTGTCTTCAGAGGTAGCACTATTGCAGTAATCCTGTTTAGTGTGTGGTTCATTACCTGTCCCCACATTCTGCTTATCAACTTTTTTCTCCACATCTCACTATGTGGAGAGGGGGGAAATTGACCAACAGTTAAAAGCATGCAGTTTGCATTTCCCACAGAGGCCTTTGACATGGAAAAGTTTTGACAGGAAAAATTAGAAGGGTGAGTGGATCTGTATTTGCATTTAATATGATAGATCTTGCCGCTTTATTTGCTTGAGTGTCAGTGAAATGCTACATTTATTACCAATTATCGTTTCTGGCACAGCCTTAAGGTGAAACACATCAAGATTTTCAAAGGTTTATATACAGCTTTGATAAATCAGCTCTGTGTGATCTGCATCCCTGAGGCATTGGCTTTAGTTAATAGATGGATGGGCAATACCACAAACTAGCATCCACCAGCTGCTTTTTTTGAAATTAGGATTCTCATAGCTAAACGACATGAGATAATAGTACTTGATCCATAACGCAGTGGAGGCAGGCAGGGATTGGAAGCACAGTATGCCTCTGAATGCCAGTTGTTGGGGATCTCCTTGGCCAAAGCTCTGCCTCCCCAAACTGCTTTTTAGCCATTTCTTTCTATCTTCCCAGCTGTGCTCCTAGACTGCCACAGGGCCCTAATATGCTTTAAGCTAAGGTTACCAGAATTTTTCCAAAGAATCCAGGGACACTTTTTTTTAAAAAAAAAAAAGAGGAGGAAAAATTATTAAAACAAGTTTTTGTTTTTTTTAAAAAAGAAGTAATATATTCTCTTCTGTGGGCAATTGGCTGGGTGTCTGGGTGCTCTTGCTCCTGGCTCAATTTGGGCTGCGGGGGGGGGGGTGTCAGCGGTTCCCTCAGTTGACGTGCCGGGTGTCCCCGGTTCCCCCTTGGCAGTGGCAGCAGCTGTCTCAGCAGCCCGGAGCCAGCCTGGTAGCGCAGTTGGCTCTGGCTGGCTTCAGGAGCTGCCCGCTGCCGTGGCGCCCGCCATTTTGCCTCGCCATAAGTCCCCATATGATGTAGTAGGGAACATTCATTCCCTACTAATAAATCTATAACACTTAAAATATAAATGTGGGGACATGAAATGAAATCCGGGGACATTCCGGGGACGGATTTTGTCCGGGGACAGATTTGTAAATCCGGGGACTGTCCCCAGGAAACAGGGACATCTGGTAACCATACTTTAAGCACTACCCGTTTGGCAGGAGAGAGTGGAAGCCGTCTTGGCCAACATTTGGGGCGTCAATACCTCAGAGTACTTGAGGACAGTTCCTCCTCCTGTCCACCCCTGACTTCCCACAGCCATCACTCTGCCTACTTGTGTGTTAGGCCTTGGCCACAGGCATGTGGACCCAGAAGGTTGTCAATGAGGTAATATAGTTCTCATACTGTTAAGGTGCCCCACCCAGTAAAACACTTGACCCAGTGGTATGAGTCGTACCACTGAGAATGGACTCTGTATTGTTGAGTAAGACAAAAGGTCTCGTTCTTAGTCAAACTGCTATGCAACACCTGCTCAAAACAAAACAATGAACCAGTTGGTCCCTCTAAAACAGACATGGTCAAACTTGGCCCTCCAGACTACAATTCCCATCATCCCTGACGACTGGTCCTGTTAGCTAGGGATGATGGGAGTTGTAGTCCCAAAACATCTGGAGGGCCAAGTTTGGCCATGCCTGCTCTAAAAGGACACAAGCATC